TCTTAATTGTATATTTCCTCCAAGTTTTTTTTCTTCTGCTATAACTAGACATTTCAATAAATTAAATGATTACCTGTAAATACAGTAACATTTTTTTCTTAACATCTCCTGCTGAAATGGGGTCAGATCATATACGCCATTAGCTATAGTAATACTATACAATTTCAGCTACAGTTTTTCACATTCTTTAACATGGAATTATTTAATATCTGGCAACATCCTTAATTCACCCGCCAATAGTATATATTCTGTGTAAGTGATTTTACTATTTAAAAATGTGCTGCAGATGGGGAGAAAATGAAAGAAAAAACTGTATTCAAGATGCTAGAAAGGTAGAGATAAAGAGTAAAAAGAAAAAGTTGGAGTTATTTTCCTGGAAGTAAATTTTAACTAAAGGATGACAAAAAGCAATATAAACTTCCTGACCAGAATCTACAAGTAAATATATACATTCAAATGACCAAACATCTTTCAAAAAGTAAATAATTTGAGGAGGAATGTGCGTAGGAAGAACACCAATTACAGAAAAAGTTAGCAAATCAAGATGGTATCATGTACCAGACTGACTCAGGCATCTTGGGTTATTGTTGATATTAAAAGAGAAACAGGATTGGTAACTGGAATTGACTGGTCAGTCAAGATTAATGACAATAAAAAATACAAAGAAAAAAGAAGAAAAAGAAAAACATGGTAAGATATCTTGAAAAAGCTGCATTGCCACATTCAGATCTTGCTCAGTGTTTTCCATATTGTAACGGAAAAATATAGAAAAATGATAAAATTGTTTTTGTATTAACAATGTCACTTACTCTTACTGATAGCATCAAATTACAAGGTGTGTGATGTCTATACACAAATATAGGCTCCAATGATTAGAAAGATATTCTCCCAGAACATTATCAGTATAGTAAGTTCAATCTTCCCTAGGCATCCTATACTTGCAACTTTCAGTTGTACTCAGTGATTAGCCTAAATTGATAATTTAGCTTTTTATAAAACTTCTTCTATGTACCGTGTCCATTCAGAAAGGTGGCGATCATGGCTCTACTTAATTTTTTGCCCTATGTAACTCTAAATAAATTGTCTTTTCATGAACTCACCTAAACCATGTTCCACCATCCATTTACTCAAGCTTACTTTTCCTCTGGCCTTCAATCTTTCCTGTGAGTATCAAATTTTCCAAACCTCTTTCCTCATTATGTGCCCTAGAAATTTCACCTGCCTCTCCCTGATGTTAAGTATAAGTGTCCTTTTTGTTTCTATTTCTCTAAAACTTGGTTGTTGCTCACATGGTCAGCCCATGCGATTCTCAGCATCCTTTTGTAAAACCAAATTTCTGTTGCTCTTCTTCTTCATCAGTGAGGAAATTGTTCAGCATTCACTGCCATATAGGAGGACTGCAGCACCTCAACATGGTGTAATGTTTAACAAGTTTGTCTTACTAGATCAATTACGACTGAATAGTGAGTTTGATCCTCACAAGGCGCCCCATATTTTCGGCCTTGTACTCCATATAAGCTCTGCTTAGAAAATCATTTAGGACACATCAACATGGTGTAGTGTTTAGCAAGTTTTTCTCACAAGAACAACTGAGTAGTGAGTTCAATCCCCACAGGGTGCCCCACACTTTCAGCTTTGTGCCATATCTAAGCTGCACTTATAAAAATCACCATATAGAAGGATTGATATTACATAACAGTTCAGTACTCTTTTCTTTGTTTCTAATGAAATTTTTCTGTTTCTTAATACTTTACTCAGTTTTCATGAAACAAGATACTGTATTTCCTACTGTATAAGGAACACACTAATAAAAAACTAAACAAAAAACCTGTCCAAATTACCCCTTGTATCTTCTTTGGCAATTTTTTTTTTCAGATACTACAGGCATCAGGGATTGATCTGGACTCTTTGTCTTTATGAGCAATGGGAGAAGTGCTATTTTTTGGGGAGAGGACCCCCTGGAGCCAAACATATTATATTTATTTCTGATCTACAGAAGTAAATTTTTCTACTAATTAAGGTACACCAAATAATCAGGTAATTGCAAATTACTTCACCAACTTTTTTTACAAGAAAACCATAGCATTGAAATCCATGCTAGCTTGACTCATACACCTGGTTGACAGGCTGTTATATGCTGCCTCATTCAGCTGCCTCATTCTCTAATGATGCTCTCTATCAATTACCTGGATCCTATCCCTGAGAAGATAATGTGTAACTCGACTCTACTACTGGTCCAGATAAAAATCCTAGAGTTGTTCTCAAAAAGCATAACCCAAAACTGCCTCCAATCTTGGTGAAACTGTTCAACTGCAGCCTTAAAAAGAAATATTTCCCAAACCCATGGAAGGTGTCTAGTATGTGTCCTGTGTTCAAAACTGCAGGTGAGTCATCAGCCCTCTCACAATATTGCCCCATCAGCCTCCTTAGTAAACTTTTTGAAGTTAACATAAACAGAAAAGTCATTGAACACCTCAACAAAAACAAATTCCTGAGTGACAAACAATATAGTTTTTGTTTTTCTAGGTCCACTGTTGATGCCTTAGCTATTATCATACATTGAAAACCTTTGATAAGGTGTGGCATAAGGGATTGCTACACAAACTGACCAGCTATGGAATCACTGGGAGAGTGCTCTCAGTTATCAAGTCTTTCCTGTGAGGTTGGCCTATGAAGGTCATTGTTAAAGGTCAGTTCTCATATGTATGAGATAAATTCTGTCATCCCTCACAGTTCTAGTGTCTCTGTTTTATATCAACAATCTACCCAAGAACACACTCCAATCCTTAGTAAATACATATGCAGATGATAACACAGTGTGTGGGTGAACGTCCAAATATTTTGATGACCAGTGCATGTCTGTTGATCTCACCTTTGACTTAATTCTCACAGCTCAATGGGGAAAAGACTGACTGATATCATTCAATACATCCAAAACTAAACTCATAACATTTTATCACCACCAAGCAGACTAAATCAGTACCAAACTTGAGGGGGTGATCCTACCCTCAAAGAGGTTCCTTACCTTGAACACCTACTGGGTCTAAAGCTCACTCCCAATATCAAATGGGATGCATATATTCATGTTATTGCAAAAGATGCTGGAAGAACAGTTGGTTCCTTGTATTGCTCCAGAAAATACCAAAATCCTGTTGCCATGCTCTGTCTTTACAAGAATTAGCCCAGACCAAGAATACAGTATTGCTACTATATCTGGGATGGTGCTGCCCAATCGTTACTGTTCAGCTTTGAGTTCAAAACACTTCCTTGCGGGTGATGAATTATTCTGTGGTCTGCAACCCTTATTCCACAGATGAAATGTTGGCAGCCTTTCACTACTATATCACCATTACTATGGTAAATGTTTGGAGAGGTTATATTCCTTAGTGTTACTAGCTCAGACCTTCAGAGCTACGACCTGTCATGCCATGTTCACAGTGGAAAACCATCCCTCATTCCCTTTGTGTTCCTTTACATAAAAAGTAAGTTTCACTCAGACTAAACTGTTACTTTGCGGAACAAACTCCCAAGAGAATACTTCCCTGACAACTACAATCTTAGTCTCTATGTCTAACATCAACTGCTATCTATCCTACTCATCTTCCTAATACTCACTCACTTCCTCTTCTTTTACACTCTCACTCAGTAACCCTCTGCCTTGAGTGGCTCTTGGGTGAAATATTAGTAAAAAATAAAAAATATCCAGAGAAGGGTCAAAGGCAAACCACTGGCAGCACATAAACAGCTGTTTTGGGTAGATGGAGGTTGTGAGCTTACAAAGGGATCAGAGTTCATATAGAATAAAGAAAACCCTGATTTTAAATCTCCACTGCCTTGCAGCCATATCCAAACAGAGAAAGGGCTGTGGAAGTAAATCCAGACAGAAAATCTGGATAGAGCCTTGAAGGTAGATGGCTGTCAACACCACTGACAACTTTTTGACAAATCCTGCAGTCAAGCCAGTTCCAATGTAATGCCCTGTATTTTTTTAAAATCTTGTCAGTACAGCTGAGAATTGAACCATGTGCTCTGGGTAGCACATGACCTCCATATACCATCACTCACACCTGAAACCTGGAGTGGGTACTCCAAGTTTCACCAACAAAGGACTGAGTTTTGACCAGAGTGCTACTATTATTCTCCTGTAAGATAAACAAATGCAGATAGGGATAAGCTGCAGATCATATGCCATCCAAGAAATAATTTTGTATGGCCAGCAATCAAGGCTGACTTGAAAAGCCACCTATTTCTTACAGTTGATGCCAAAGATCTAAAATCTAGACTTTCTGGCCTCTAGAAAAATATTGTTTGGCAGTACTCATATATCTGAAAAGAAATTGCCATCCTTATAAAATGTAGAAACAGGCTACAAAAGTTAAGACACCACTGAATTCAAAGTTTATCAAAATATTATTCCAATAGTTGTTAGTAATCTATGTTTACTTTTTTTTTTCTTTACTGTTGATTTTTTTGTTTCATTCTCCAGCCTTCTTTATACTCATTGGGTCATTCTTGCTGGTTTGGTCATGTTTATAATTTTGGTATTGCTGACTATTAGCATGGTGCATCTTACTAGTTCATTGACCTAAAGAAGGCCAAAGAAGGAACAACCTGAGATATGAAAATTACAAGAAGATTATTCACCGTCTCTTTTCCCCCACACTCAAAAAACAAAAAAAAGAAAGAAAACTCTTTGATCAAAATAGTTGTGAGGTAAATTTATTAATGTAAATATTATTAGTTATCTCCCTTAAATGATAGCAACTGAATTAAATGTTTTTCAATGAATTACAAGCATTTGATTTTTAATTTAGAATGGCAAAGATCATTCCCCTGCCCAATATTAAATAGACAAGAAATGTTTTCAGCTAAAAATAAGACATTAGAAAAAGGTTGATTTTCTACAGTCAATGAAAGCACATGAAAAAGGAATAACTAGATATTCCCAAATGAAATTCCACTTTATTAATGCTTATTTGATAAATTCTGGATCTGGTTACTGTCCTCCACTTTAATTACAGGTGATACATTTTTTTCATCTTTATTCTCTATTACTTCTTCGTTTGTTTCTTGTAATGGACGATCCTTCATAGCGTAAGGGTCATCCAATTCCAGGTTATCATCATCATACATATCACCAACTGTCCATAATGTTTCTAAGTCATATTTCTCACGGATTTGTGGTAAAAAGATGTGTAGAGCGACATTTCCTGAAAAAGTAGAGAAGAATAAACAATTAAGAATTTTTTAGGAAAAACAGTATAACAATTATGTCATTTTTACTCATGTGCTTTTTTTAAGGGCAATTTTCCCTAGTTGCTCTTCAGGGAGAAAATACAATATACTTACATACATACATACATTATAGATATCTACACATGTCTGTTTTCTCATGTCAGAAGCTTTAAACATATTCACTAATTTTACATATTGGCATATAAATAGTCTGATGATGCAAAAAGCATTTATTTTACACAATAAATACAGTCTGCCTGAAGTTATTATGCAAATCACGTAAACCGCTCCCCTCTGACTACATGTATTTAAGTGTGCTACTCGATTGGCGTCTAGGTTACACCCTTTTACTGTTAAAATAGTTAAATGAAACTGCCACTTCTACTCAAACAGTTTTTTTTTCTCACACTTCTTGCCTGTGCAACTTCCTTCCATTTACTTGCCTCCCTGATAAAAATTCAAAAATTTAAATGCAACATTAATCTTCCATCTTCTCTCTTCTCCAATCCCATTCACCTTTTATCCTTTCCTCAACTCCTCACTATACCCAATCTTTTCTCTCACTTTCAGTAACCCCTGCATACTTGTGGCATTCCTGACTTGCTTTGGAGTGAAATGATTAAAAAAAAAAAAACTCAATAATTCAAATTTACTTTGAAAATTTTTTTATCAAATTTTAAAAAGTTGATCTAGACATCAAACCAAAGCGTGAGTAAAATTTTTAGGTGGCTTCAACATGTTTTAATAAAGTTATTGGATTTATTATAAAAATAACTGCAGTCTTAACTTATTATACAGATTAATATTAATTTAAAGCCTCAGAAATCTAGTAAAAAAACATTTTTTCTTTTTAACCATATGTTGAAACATTGGTAAGGGAAAGGACCTAACAAATGCTGAAAAACAGAAAATAACAAAGTTATTGTGAGAATGTCCGCATTGGAAATATCAAAGGAACTTTGTGAAGCTCATCAAATAATAAAAAGACTCTGATTAAAAATTCCAAGCCATTGTCCATTACATCACCCACACATGGCACCTGATATTCTCAAGTGTTCACCTAAACTTAGTGACCAAACTTAGTGTTGCTTAACTGGAGATCATATGAAAACCAGTGTTTCAATGTGATGCAGCCAAAAGCCATGATAAAAAAGTAAAATTGAAAATATAGATAATTTGAAAACTAGAATGAAAGGAAAAGGCTTTAAAAACTTGTCTTCTCAAAGGTGGGGGGATGTAAACTAAATTGAATTATAGCAAAACAACTAATTTTACCAGTGCAAAGATCTTTGAAGAGGTTAGAATTGAGGGAATTAACAACAAAAGGTGTAAAATTCTTTGCAAATTGGGATCTTTCAAGAAATTTCCAAGGCAAACTCTCAGTAAAATAATATATATATATATATATATATATATATATATATATATATATATATATATATATAGAGAGAGAGAGAGGGGGAGAGAAGTACCACCACTAATTCACTGAAAAAAGAGCATAACATATTTATAGAACATTCAGGCCAGTAGATGTATATCATAGATTGAATGTCAAAAGTTAAAACAATTTTTTCATAAAAATTTTCAAAATTTGACGCATAACATATGAATAAGTGCTAATATTACTATGACGAATTTTATTAATTCATAGCTCTGTGAACAACCTTCACCTTTTTATACTAGAACCAACACTTAATAAATACAAATTCTTCTGTGTTTACTATATTGACATGACTTTGAAGTTAATATTGTACAAAAGCTTTCAACATTACATTAAACATTAAAAAATAAATTTTTTTTTACTTATTAGTATTATATTCTCTACATCTGTTCACATGTTAAATGTTCTATTTTGTTTGCATTTACTGACTTCTTAAATATGCAGTGATTACTCTATTTAATGACATACAAAACCCTCCCCTCATATCACTAAGGAATATTAAAAAGAACATTACTGGATGGTAGATTGAATGTTCCTGGAAATCCATATTCTCTGGCCTAATTCAAAACAAGTTTCTTTTTATGTATTAAAAAAAAAAATGAAATTCTAATATGTAGTGGAAGAAAGTGGATCTTCCATATGATCAAATACAGTATTTACTGTGTCATGAAATATGATTTGCATTTCAGAAGTTTTGAAATATTTTCGGGAGTGGCACTTATTAATTTTAAAGTAGTACAAAAACATTAATCTCCTCTGACATCAATGTTCTTGTTGTAGCCCTCCAGTTACACCATGAAGACCCCATAGAAGTCATCTAAAGTGAAGGTGTCCAGGACCCTTATCACAACACCTCCCTTCAACTTCTCAATGTCTTCAAAACATCTACTCCTGATGTTCTCCTTCAGTTTGGGGAATAACCAAAAGTCACAGGGAGCAATGTCTGGACTGTAGGGAGAGTGACGGACAGTTTTGATGCCTATCTCTGTCAATGGAAATCTTTATTGCATAGCAAGCTTTGAAATTGTCTTCACATCTGACTGCATCCTGTAATCTTGTCAGCTGTGATAGTTTTTAATAGGGTGTGTTCAAATGAGCTGACACTCATCTCCTTCAATCTGGAATAACAAAAGTTGGCTGGTCAGCTTATTAGATGTATAGTAATGATATACTAAAATGACAATAATCTAAGAAAGACTCCAAACTTCTGGAATGCTCCTTATATATTATCAATAGAATAAATGAAAGTTTTAACATATTTTAAATAAATCCTACCCTTGTTATCATGTGTTGAATAAATAATTAGTCATATGTAAAATAAAAAAAGCATATGTGGATATATGGAAAGACTGGATACTTATTGTTATGATGTTGATTTGGGGTTAGTAGAGACAAACGCCAAATAACACGTAACAATAAAAAGGGTTTTAATAGGTTGGTAAAACGGTACAGAAATCGCCTGAGTAGTCAATAACTAGCTCAGCTAAGAACTCTCTGTCTATCTGTCTTCTGACATGCCACTATTTAAAGTCTTTGTTTGCAGACAAGTTCATCTTCCAGAGGGGTGGTAGGTTTCCGACACAACACTTATTTACAATCTAAATCTGTTTTTGGTTATTTTTGTTAGGAAGAGTCAAAGTGAAAACCTTTCAGCTCCTACCAGTAAATAACACACACACAAACTCATTAACTAAGAAATCTTACTAATGGAATTTAATGACAGAATTGTACAGCATCCTCTATTTTGTAGAATAACAATATCTAAAGTTTTATGCTGTCAAAACTTGTAGTGAGTCTAGGGATAGGGAAGTCTCGTTATAACTTGTACAAACTTAAATTCATGTTTCAGAGTTCATTATACAGAATAAAACTTGGAATAGTCAACCAGAGATTATCATTTGAACCTTTGTTTCAATTCTCACTTGTTCAGGCCAATTCTACAAAAGCACAAACATACACACAGTGAAATACACATTGACAGGCTATTCTTTCACAATAATTATATTGAACTCCCTACGAATTTGCTAAGCAAGATAATCCTATACACTTATTTCAAGTGATAAAACACATATATAGATACAACAATGACTTTACACCTAGGTAAGTAACTATTCAATTGTTATTAAGAGATTATTAAATCAATAAGCTCTGATCAAAGAGCTAATCTCACAAACTACTGATAGCAATTTTAATTCACATTGGATACAACTTTGTCAAATGAAGGATATAATTTATAACAAGTATTTTTTAAATTTATAAACTTTGTTTAAAAATTAAAAACAAAAAATATAAGTTTATATCAATTAAAAATGCTGTCAGGCAACTTTATACTTAAATATAAAACAAGTCAAGAAAAATACAATTTGTAAAATACGAAAAAAGAAAAGGTGATTTATTTAAGATCAACTTTCATACTGAATTTAACAAAATCCCATTACATAAACAAGAAATGATACGCAGTATTGTACTGCCAAATGTTCCTTTCCTTTTAACAGCTCCTCCATGCAATTGTTTTTTTTGCTGTCCTCAAAGAAAAAACTGCACAAAGAATATCTGTAATTTATTTAAGATAAATTTTCATACTGAAATCCCATTACATAGACACACACAAGCAATGCTATCCAGTATTGTAGTGTCCAAGTCTCTTTGTATTGCTCTGCGTTTGTTTTTGTTATTGTTCTCAAACAACAAAAAAAACAACTGTATAAAATGGTATTAACATAATTGTTACAACTAAAGCAGTTTGATTGGTTTAAACATTTTGGAAGTTGTTTATTTCATATATGGCATGTTAGAATATTATAATTTATAGTATATGCCAGATTTCTCAAAAGATACTACTTAAAAATATCAACACTGCTTACTTCAACATATTCCCAAACTGTGATCTAAATGCTAAGCTTGCTGGAGTGAGAAAATGACTTTATTTGAATAAATGAGCAATTATCATCATTAGAAAAAAAAAAAAAAATTCACAATAATTATCTAAACCAGTCAAAGGTTTCACAATGTTAACGCTCTTTAGAGTTAAGATAAGAATAATTGTATTATTGACAGAGTATATACATTTTTTTTTTTAAATGAGCAATTTTAAAAACTAGCAACAAAACATTTATTTATAAAGATCACACAAGATCAGATTCAAAACAAATGAAAAACAAAATTACTTTTTAAAATATGCAGATTAATGGAGTTAAATAACTCCATTAAGCTAAGTTGGGCCAAATACAAAACACATGCTGGGAGATATAAATGAAAAAAATATAATTTATTTGATCTTAGATTTACATATTTCCACACACATGGGAGGACTATCAACTATTTAATTCATTTTCATGATTTTGAACTGATGCACAAACATTCAGCTTTATAGAGATAGATATAGATATAAGGAGATGTTGAAAAATTCACAGCTGAAGAATCTGATGTTTAGCCATTTAATATTTTGGGAAGTGGTCTGGGCCAAGAACCTTTCAGCAACTCATTATATACACATACAAGTGGACTGCTATATGCATGTGTGTATAAACACAC